CCCCGCGCGCAAGAGGCAGAGAGAGAGAGAGAGAGAGAGAGAGAGAGAGAGAGAGAGAGAGAGAGAGAGAGAGAGAGAGAGAGAGAGGGTCACAGACGCCAGACCCGCCACTCTCGCTCTCAATCTAATATCTGTATCTCGACACTCTAGTGGCTAGTGCGAGTGTGGGCGAGAGCGCGTGGGCTGACGTATTACCATCCCAAGGCCGCTCCGTCCGCTCGTCCGTCCGATCCGGCCCAGAGGACAGCGCGCGGTCCCTCAGCGCCGGGCGGGGAGGGCACGGCTCGCCGCTGGATGACCTGCCCCTTGCCAAAGACAAGCCGCCCCTCGCCGCACACCGGCCCGCGCACGGCGTGCCCCTTGCGGCGCAGCTCCTCGGCCACCTCGTCCGGGATGCCGTCCTCGAGCAGAAGGACGACGCCCGAGCTGTGGCGGGAGGCGGGCTCCTGCAGGCCGACCGCCCCGCCCGTGGCCTCCACGCACAGGCGCGGCGCGTCGAGCGCGGCCTGAGGGTCCATCCAATATTATATCACTATTATCTTCCTTGAGTCCCTCTCAAGTGAAGAAATTACGCGGCCTGAGGGTCCATCCAATATTATATTACTTTTATATTACTTGAGTCCCTCTCAAGTGAAGAGATGACGCGGCCTGAGGGTCCATCCAATATTATATTAATATTATATTACTTGAGTCCCTCTCAAGTGAAGAGATGACGCGGCCTGAGGGTCCATCCAATATTATATTACTTTTATATTACTTGAGTCCCTCTCAAGTGAAGAGATGACGCGGCCTGAGGGTCCATCCAATATTATATTACTTTTATATTACTTGAGTCCCTCTCAAGTGAAGAGATGACGCGGCCTGAGGGTCCATCCAATATTATATTAATATTATATTACTTGAGTCCCTCTCAAGTAAAGAGATGACGCGGCCTGAGGGTCCATCCAATATTATATTAATATTATATTACTTGAGTCCCTCTCAAGTGAAGAGATGACGCGGCCTGAGGGTCCATCCAATATTATATTACTTTTATATTACTTGAGTCCCTCTCAAGTAAAGAGATGACGCGGCCTGAGGGTCCATCAAATATACTATTTTATTACTTGAGTCCTCTCAAGTAAAGAGATGACGCGGCCTGAGGGTCCATCCAATATTATATTACTTTTATATTACTTGAGTCCCTCTCAAGTAAAGAGATGACGCGGCCTGAGGGTCCATCCAGTATTATATCACTTTTATATTACTTGAGTCCCTCTCAAGTAAAGAGATTACGCGGCCTGAGGGTCCATCCAATATTATATTACTTTTATATTACTTGAGTCCCTCTCAAGTAAAGAGATGACGCGGCCTGAGGGTCCATCCAGTATTATATTACTTTTATATTACTTGAGTCCCTCTCAAGTAAAGAGATTACGCGGCCTGAGGGTCCATCCAATATTATGTTACTTTTATATTACTTGAGTCCCTCTCAAATAAAGAAATTAGGCGGCCTGAGGGTCCATCCCGTGCTGGAGCATGTTGAGCAGCACCTGCGAGGGGTTGGGGGGGGGAGGGGGAGGGGGGGGAGGGGGGCGGAGTCAGGGACTTGAGCCGCCGCGGCCTCACCGCACGCGCCGCGCCTGCACGTGCCCCTGCGGCTGCATGAAGCCGCCCATCACTC